GATGTTTTAGAAATCTCAAATATCTTTCATAGTTTACATGTTAAATTTTTCTCCGTAAAATAGCTTGAAGTTGTAGATTGATCTCAAGGTTAAACAAGAATCAGAAATTTCCTATTCAATGTACCTCCAGATTACGGTATATAATAGGCTCAGGTTTTAGCACCATTCAGAGATAGAAATAGTTTATAATTAAGGTATTTTACACTTTTGAAATGCCCCTCCCCCCCTTCACCAATATATGTATTTGCTTTTGATTTATATGCCATGTTGTTCACAGTTTTTTATGCAGTTTTTTCCTAATAGACTTGAGGAATAAGAGAAACATTTTAAAGCCTGAGTTTCTAATAAAGGGAAAGAAATGCAATTGTTATACATATTAAGAAATTTAAAAGTAATTCCACTTATTCTTCAAGTAGTAAGTTTCCATTTGTTGAAGATACTTAGACTTGATCCAGGGGCTGAAAGAAGGCTTCTTTCTAGGAATTTGGCCCTGCTTTTTTATTTGGTTCTACAAATAAAAGCTCTCTCATTTTTCCAAAATTTTAAGTGGTTGGTAGCAAGTTAGACATACAAAACTATTCTTTTTTTTTTTAATAGGTATTTATTTTTTATTTTTTTGGCATATTATGGGGGTACAGATTTTAAGGTTTCAATAAATGCCCTTTCCCCCCCAAAACTATTCTTACATTGCCAGGTAATTAGGTGTAAGTGTTAAGTAGTTCACAGGAAAATTTTATTCTTTAGATAAATCAACCATTGTTATGTGATCCATCCTTGTCACTTTAAGGTAATAAGACTGATTTTAAAATAATGCAGCATCTGAATTATCTTTATATTTTTTATTGCTTTTTCATATAAAAGGAAGTAAAACTGAATAAGAAAATCCCAAACAGCTTTTTGATTATTTTGGATGAATCCAATAGTGGGAGGATTTCTAATTTCTGTTTTAAGATGGAGCTCCACTTTGTTTTTTCTGTCATTTATATGATATCTAAAAAATATATATTGAACAAATATTTATTGAATAAATGAGTCTATCTATGATAGAAAAAAGAAGAAAATGGTGAACCTAGGCAGAAAGGCAGAGAATAAAGAAAGGGGTTGAGTTGCTGCTTAAGTAGAAGGTGAGTCATGCCTCATACTGAGCCACCAATGAAAACTAGGTTGGGGCAAATTTTCCTTTGCTGGGCACTCACATCTGCCATGTGAAATGCTTTGAGCTGACTCCCTGGGAACAGGGTTTATAAAAACCATCAAAAAGGCAGAATGTTATCTGATGGGACAACTGCCACAGCCAACGCCATAATTCACAACTTTTTCACCCACAAGAAACCAATGGTCTCATTGTTCAAAACCCTACTTTGACAGGGGTTACTTGGAGGTAACTTGGGAGCAAGTCTTCACACCTCAGTTCACAGTGCTAGCTTTCTGACATAAAGGAAAGAAGGATCACAGTAGCCTTTACTCAGATTTATAAGGCACACATTTTGCTTCAATCTATATTCAACTCAGCCTAAGCTGAAATGCTTTATGAAGATGGTGTAGTGCTGCAATTATCTAAGTAGCCACTGAAAACAGCACTCTTCCAAGTTAGAATTTCTTGCCAGTTATGGCTGTGATATTGTGTTCAAGATCATACTGTAAATGATGCAACCCTAAAACCAAACCAGAATGGTGTAAATCAGAAAATCTTTCACAAATGTAGTTAATTTGAGAGTCACAGGGAGAGGAAAAGAGTGGTGGCTGGTTTCGATTGTTTAAACAACAAAGATACAGCATTGTGATCCTGAGTATCAGCCAAGAAGATGCCTCTGCTTTTGCCCCTAGGGGAATGTCTGCAACCCCTGAAAGCTAGGGAGAGGTGGAGACTTGCAGGGTAAGTGGGCAAAAGAGTGGCCTGGCTCTAGCCTCTGAGAGCAGGATTGCAACACCACTGGACCACTGTCCATGGAAAGAATCAAGGAAACTTCAGCAAAGTGAAAGGGGAAAAAGGATGATGGGTGGGGGCAGGCACAACAACATTTCATAAGTAGGAGAATTCTTGTTAGTTTTTTGTTTGTATTTCAAAGAAGGACTTTAGCAGGGCAACTGCTACAAGAATCAGGGCCCTGTGAAGAAAATATATTCAATTCAGTGTGTTCAACTATAATGTGAGCTTTAATTATCTTATAGTTTTATAATTCCGTAAGGGTTAAAAGCAACTGTGTTTTGTCCTAGCTTTAGGGTTGCCAGATAAAACACAGAATGCCCAGTTAACCTGCATGGGATGTAATATTGCATGGGATATACTTATATTAAAAAATTAGCTGTTGATTATCTGAAATTGAAATTTAATGGGACAACCTGTGTTTTATTTGCTCAATCTGGCAGTCCTACCCAGATTACTATAACAATATTGCAATGTGGGAAAAAGCAATTCCCGAGTATTTTCACACATGGTTTTATTGTTGTTTAACAGCTTTTAAATATTTTTGTCTGAAAAGTAACATATTTGATATAAACTAGTTACATTTGACTTTGCAAGCTAGCTGTGTTAAATTTATGTAATAAAAATAAGCAAATACTACTTAAAAGCTACAGATACTCTTATAAATAGAATAAGAAAGATGTGATCTAAACTATAAAAGACTGAGAGGAAAATGAGAACATCTAGATAACGATGGACAGACATCATCATTAGTGAGAATCCCAAGCCTGTCAGGCACAGAAAAGCTGAACTGATGACTTGGAAAGATCAAATTAAGATATAGCAGACTGGTCTAAGGCCCCTGAAGACATGAAAGCAGTGAACAGATAAAGATTCTTCTCAGAGAATAAATCACAAAGATGCTGAGAATGTTTGCTTCAACATTGTCTCTCCTCTGATCAAATGCCAAATAAAGATCAATCAGTTAACATCTGAAAAAATTTTCTGGTCACAGAAGAAAGTAGCTTCAAAATTAGCATAATGACATAAACCTACACTTGAGATTTTAGTACTATGTTGTGCCTTATCAAAGGATAATTTATTTCTCTGGTATTTACATTGCAAATATTGATGAGAAGTAGTATCAGGGCACAACTTGAAAGACTTAGTGGCTTTGGTGGACTAGGGACAAGTGACCTTTATAAACAACTGTCAATTCAAGAAAAATAAAAACTCATGGTTGCATATTAGAACCAAATTGTTTTTTTCATTAAAAAAATTTAATAAAATAAATGTTAAATCCACAACTTGAACATTCTTATTTTTCTGGAGAGTTTTAAATTTTTAATGAAATTTCATAGACTATTCAGCATTATAGTATCTGATTATAAGGGTGTACATTTGAACAAACTATTAGTCTTTCTTTGATTAAATTATAAATTATTGGCCGGGTATGGTGGCTCACGCCTGTAATCCTAGCACTCTGGGAGGCTAAGACGGGAGGATTGCTTGAGCTTAGGAGTTCGAGACCAGCCTGAGCAAGAGAGAGACCCTGTTCCTACTATAAATAGAAAGAAATTAGCCAAACAACTAAAAATAGAAAAAATTAGCCAGGCACAGTGGTGTATACCTGTAGTCCCAGCTACCCAGGAAGCTGAGGCAGAAGGATTGCTTGAGCCCAGGAGTTTGAGGTTACTGTGAGTTAGGATGATGCCACGGCACTCTAGCCCAGGCAAAAAAGTGAAACTCTGTCTCAAAAAAATTATAAATTATTGAATTGAAAGATGTGATTTTTCTTCTCATATTGTATTCTTTCAATTAGAGAATTTTAAAGTGAAAAAAGTTTAAGTAGAAACTTCTTTAATATACTTACATGCACACATACACGTGATAAACCACTTCCTTTGAAACAATTTTCATCAGTAACTTCTATCATTTTGCTGCAACCAAACTACCACAGAAGGTGCATAGCTCCCAAGGCTTGGGAATTGACAACCTGCCATTCCAACCGTCAGAGCTAGATTCATCAAGGGTCTTGTGGTCTTAGGAGATAAACCAAATAGACTAAGTACATGCTTAGGGAATGAACAAAACAGGGGAAGTGAAAAATAAAGAGTAGAATTGTCTTGGAAAATCTTGGTATTTCAAACAAAAAACCACGTAAGTAGTCATGATGGGATAATCCGGAACATTGTTAAACTTTCTTAAACTTGCTTCATGAAGTACACTCAGCAAATCCATTGCCTTTGGGCCCCACCAGCCTGGTACCCCCCCCCCCAATCCAAGACTATCTGTTTTAACCTTCAACTGGGGCAAATCTGATTTATTTTTATGTGCCCTACCTGTCCAGTAAAGCACCAAATGCTCTTTCAAGCTGGGGCAAGGGTGTAAACAGGACTCAGAAGAAAAGAATGGGCAAAATTTAGTCTTCTTTGGGGGAGGGTATCCTAAAATTAGATAATGGGCCATGTTCCAAAACTAGGCTGTGTGGGGTTGCTACAGTATTGATCTAGAATCAATACTATCCCAAAGAAATATAATACAAGCCACAAATGTAAGCCAAATAAGTATTCTAAAATTTTCTTATAGCCACATTAAGTAAAAAGAAATAAGAGAAATTAATCTTATAAACATTTTATTTAACCCATGTATCTGACATATTTTCATCTCAACATGTAATCAATATTAAAAGCTATAAACAAAATATTTTAAATTCTCTTTTACATATTAAATCTTTCAAATCTAGTCTGAAATTTTTTACACTTACTTCCTTTGTTAATTCTGACTTGCTACATTTCAAGTGCTTGATAATATATGTGGCTAGTGGCTACTATATTGGCCAGTATAGGCCCAGATTTTAACACAAAAGCTACATTGTATACCTTCAATCCCTTTGTCACAAACTTTTCTCTCTGCAGGGGGCTAGAAAAAAATTTTTTTGAGTGGAAGAGTAAAAATGGAGAAGATTAGGATGGAAATGAGGTTCTTAAAACCTGTCTCCAAGAGTGTAAGTTTATTGGCCCTATGACTAAACATTACAGAGAAAAACTGCTTATGTTCTTGCTTCTTCCATCTGCCTTCTATGATGCCCAGGTTTCTTATGAAGTGGCCAAGCCCATCACCAAGAATGATCCTTCTTAGCTGTGCTTCCACATGGGATATAAACAAAGATTTATCTTGTTACCCTAGGCTAATAGAGAAACACCGGTAAAAAGCACAAACAGGGGCATGATCGTAAACATTTTCTAAAGACTTTGGCTTCAGAGAACTCCACATATGATTGTGCAGATCTCAATTTTTGCTCCAGGGACTGCCAAAAATTATGGAAGCAATTTAATTTAATCCTGTATTGAGAGGGCAGGGATCTGATTATGTTGACATTGCCTGAGTTCTCCATTTAAGCAGTGAGAGTGCTTAAAGGCTGGGAAATCCAAGTTCAGTTTGGGGCTTTTAAATTGTTCCAGGTCTCTCACACTTCTTCAGGCACAATAAACAAGAGCACTAAAGATGACCCTTCACAATGGAATGCCCTTTTCAGAAAGCATATGGTAGCAAAAAAAAATAAAATAAAATAAAAAAAATTGGGCTTTGAAGCCACCTACATACTATATATTCTCAGACAACTTAGTTAATAGCTCCAAGCTTTATTTCTTCATTCCCCCACTACCTCACCAAAATGGTAAGGATAATTCTAATTTTCAAATATTGTTTTCAGATCAGATATTATCTATATCAATCATAGTACCTGACACATAGTAAGCATTCAACTCATATTATTGATCCTAAAATTCTTTTGCTTTTTCTCTATAGCACAAGGGCATAATTCTAGAATATGGAAGCTGGTCAACTCTAGAGCCTTCTGATGCTACCAGGAAGCCAGGTCATACCCAAAACTTCTAAGACAGTGTCATGGTAAACAGATTGGAAGTTGGCAAATGTATGGCCATCCCTGGAGCTCCTCCCTGAGTTATAGAAAGTTTAAGTCTCCATTGCTGGCTGGGTGTGTGTGGTGGCTCATGCTTGTAATCCAAGCGCTTTGGGAGGCCAAAGACGGAGGATCCTTTGAACCCAGGAGTTCAAGACCAGCCTGGGCAACACAGTGAGATCCTGTGTCTATGAAAATTAAAAAAAAAAATTAGGTGAGCATAATAATTAGGTACACACCTATAGCCCTAGCTACTTGGGAGACTGAAGTGGGAAGATGGCTTGAGCCCTTGAGTTTAAGGTTACAGTGACCTATGATTGCACCACTGTACTCCAACCTGGGTGATGGAATGAGATCCTGTCTCAAAAAAAACAACAAAAAACCCAAACAAACAAAAAACAACAAACAAAACCGCCCCCCCCACATACACAAAAACAAAACACTTCATTACTGAGTATGAATCATTACATGATTATGACCTACTACTTAGCATACTGGGTCATAATCAGAATTAAAAGAATAAAGAAATAGTTAATACTGTAGTGCATCTCATAGGATTATTTCTGATAACTTGCTTCTGTCTGACAGCTAAACATATATATGGAAAGGGTAAAAAGTTTGAATACCACTACTTTAGAACACACTAGAAATTCAAGGAACCCTGAAACTTCTAATTTCCTAGGAGATACAGATGGGCAGGAAAGAAGAGAGCATCTGACTCCCTTGGAAAGGAATTTTGGGGGGAATTATGAGATCTGTCAAAGATGGGCTCTGAAATATGGATGTGAGATAAGGATATCACAATCCTAATGCTGATCAACATGGCTGTCTTCTGTCTAATACACCTCAAAGCACTACAGGACAAAGTACAGCTGGTTAACTAGATGACAGGAAATCTTCAATGAATAAAAGTCATTTTTTCACAATTTCTTCATAAAAGCACTTCAGAAATATAAGAGTTAAAGCTCTGGTGAAAGGAATTTTCCTGACTTTATAAATAGGACCTGATATAAATCCTTTTTGTGTGTGGAGGTAGAGATTTACATAATTTGAGAATCCTAATAATGTGGATAATACAAATGCTATAGTTTGCATTGCTATTTTTGGTTAAGATAAGAAAAATCAACCTGCATTAAAGCACATGTAATTTTTTAAACAATGAAGCACCATGGATTGGAAATGCTTGGATTAAAGAAAAAAGTCCTAGCACTTAAAGCATAAAAGAATTAGGGAAAACAAATCTGCGTTTCATAAAGCTAACTCTATCCTTTCTTTAAAAAAAACCCACCTCTGAACTTACAGATTCTACCCTCAACATTCTACTGAAACTGCTCATAAAGGGTACAGTGACCTCTGAATTTTCAAGCACAAAGCATATTTTTCAGGGCTCATATTGTGTGAAGTAGACAGAGACTTGCTAACCATTCCCTTCTTCTTTTTTTAAAGAGAAGGGGTCTTGCTATGTTGTCCAGCCTGGATTTGAACTCCTGGGCTCAAGCAATCTGCCAGCCTCAGCCTCCCTAGTAGCTGGGCCTATAGACACATGCCACCAAGCCTGACTCCTCTCACTTCTTTGTAGCTTCTCAGTTTCCTTTATTGGCAACTTTTTCTTCTGTAAAATTCTTATGTGTTCTTGCCCCCTTTTTGCTCTTAACCAACACTTTCCTTGTATGATTTTGTACATACGAAGGCCTCAACTTTAAGCCATTCACTAATGATTCTCAAATTTTCTCTCCAGGCTTCAGACGTACATATTAAATTGCCTACTTAGTATCTCCACCTGACTGCCCCACGGATACCTCAAAAACTCAGTGTACTAAAAAAACACCTCATCATCTTTCTCCCAAAGCATTCGTTCCTTTCCATGGCCCTGCCCCACTGTGGTGAATGGCACCACTCTCTATTTAGCCCTGCAAGCCAGACATTTGCGTGTTACCACATATTCATCCTCCTTCCTGACAGTGTCAAATCATTTACAAAAACCTATCTGTTCTTTCTCATTATTATTCCTCATATTTATCACTGTTTCTCCTTTGTTTCTATTGCCCCTACCGCATGGACCTGTGCTTCCTCTCCCAAAAATATTATAATAACTGGGGTTTTTTTGCCTTAAAAATTCACTGAGATATAATTCAAATGCTAAAAAATTCACTAATTTAAAACATGGAATTCAATGGTTTTCACCATATTCACAGAGTTGTGACTTGTGTCACAAGTCTAGGTTTAAAACATTTTCAAATGTTAAAATAAACCTCATACAGTGTGGTCATCACCCTCCAATATTCTCAGAACCCTCTATAAAGTTGCCTATTCTTTTTTTGTTTTTTTGAAGACAGAGTCTCACTCTGTTGCCCGGGTAGAGTGCAGTGGCATCATTATATCTCACAGCAACCTCAAACTCCTGGGCTCAAGTGATCCTCCTGCATCAGCCTCCTGGGTAGCTGGAACTACAACAGGTGTGTGTCACCACACCCAGAAAAGTTTTCTATTTTTTGTAGAGAGGGGATCTCGCTCTTGCTCAGGCTAGTCTCGAACTCCTGACTTCAAGCAGTCCTCCAGCCTCAGCCTTCCACAGTGCTAGGATTACAGGCATGTGCCACCACATTGGTCCAGACAGACAAAAGAAAAAAAGTGTAAACTCTTTTGGACTCCTTTGCCATTCAGTGTCCACCAGGAACTGCCCTGACCCCATTATTCCAGCCTACATGTCATCCAATTTCCAAACTTGCTTCCCATAAATTAACATTAAAAACTCTCTAATCCTATCCAATGTGCCATGCTACATTATAATCACGTCTATGTGCATACATGTTATTTCTTCTGCCTGAAACACATTCTTCCAGCTCACAAGACTGTTTTAAACATTAAATATAACTATGCAAATGTACATGGCATATAGATGGCATAATGTTTGCTAAATATGAAAAAGGACTTAGAAAATGAAATTTGGGAAATCAGGCCTCCATAATTTATCTCTAGAAATTTGAGTGACTTAAATGACTGTGATATATCTGTATTTTTTTCATCTAATAATTAATATAGGAAAACCTCATATATGTATAAAAACTAGGCCGGGTGCAGTGGCTCATGCCTGTAATCCCAATACTCTGGGAGGCCAAGGCAGGTGGATCGTTTGAGCTCAGGAGTTCATGACCAGCTTGAGCAAGAGTGAGACCCCATCTCTACTAAAAAAAATAGAAAGAAATTAGCTGGACAACTAAAAGTATATATATAAAAAAATTAGCCAGGCATGGTGGCACATGCCTGTAGTCTCAGCAACTTGGAAGGCTGAGGCAGTAGGATTGCTTGAGCCCAGGAGTTTGAGGAGTTGCTGTGAGCTAGGCTGACGCCATGGCACTCTAGCCCGAGCAAGAGAGTGAAACTCTGTCTCAAAGAAAAACCAAAAAACAAAAAAAAACACAAACTATATGGCACAAGTAAAACAATTTCAAAGTAATAAGTCTACAGGGAAGTTAACTATCACTAAACCATCTCACTTTTATAAATCCTTCTCGTAAGTTTTTTAAGAAAATCACATTGGTTGTAGTATCCATTTGAAGAAAGTAATAATATAACATAGAAGAATTTATCTCAGAAAATATAATGTCATATCTCTGCAAAAAAAAAAAATCAATTAAAAGGTTGGCTAGATGCAGTGGCTCACGCCTGCGATCCCAGCACTTTGGGAGGCTGAGGGGGTAGGATCACTTGAGGCCAGGAGTTTGAAACCAACATAGGTAATATAAAAAGACCCTGTCTCTACAAAAAATCTTAAGAAAAAATTAGCTGGGCATGGTGGTGTGCACCCATAGTCCCAGCTACTGGAGAAGGTGAGGCAGGAGGATTACTTGAGCCCAGGAATTTTAGGTTACAGTAAGCTATGACTGAGCCACTACTCTCCTGTCTAGGTAACCGAGCAAGACCCTGGAGACTGTGTATCTAAAAAAAATAAAAATAATAATAATAAAGGATCACTAAATTTTCACCTATATATTTTCATTCCATTACACTCACGATCTTTTTTAGATATCACTTTACAATGAGTCGATTTATTCGTATTTTGTTAAAATTAACTTCTTTACCAATGTATTGCCTCAATTTGTGACCTTCTGTGTGGAAGAAAATGAAGGGGTACTTTAAAAGTCATATTGTAAGTAATGAGCTTTATATACACATGAAATATCCTGTGTTGCTTATACTTATTTCTGATTTTTAAAGGATTTCCTAGTTTTACAGTGTTATTTTTTTAACATGCAGTGGACAAAAGAAAATATTCAAACAGGCAAATTACATTGTTTTTAAATTTATTTTATTTTTCATTTTACAACTATATTTCAACATGTAAAACCATGGTGTTCCCACTAGTTAAGCTGTTTCCAATTAGACAATATTTTCTTCAGCATTTAACCAAGTGTTGGCAATTGAAAGAAGAGAATATCAGTGTGAATGGTTAATTAAGATTTCAAAGAAACTGCTGTTCCCTAGAGGGGTGGCTAATTTCTCATTTATAAGCCCATTTATAACTCCAGCTCTGAGAAATAGTCCTAATAAAATTCAGTTAAGTAGGCCTTTGAATGCATACCAGCCATTAACATTTGGGCTGCCTGCTGCTAGCAAAATATTAATATTTGATGCCACGGCATTTTCATTTTATAAATCTGTTTCAGAGTCTTATGAAACAGCTTTCTTTATGTGTTAAACAGATTAGACTCAGGTTGTAATGACTGGTTTTAGAATCACTTCAAAATAGTTTATAGCTGCTAGGAGAGTACGTATTTTCTGTTTAGATTATTGGCTACATTGTCTCCAATAACTGCAAGAGGATATACTATTTTTAGGACAAAGACAACTTATCATAGTGTCCTCTGCTGAATCCACAGTGGTGTTGGTGGGGGTGACAGTAAACACTTAACATAGCACTTACCAGGCTGCCAGGCACTATTCTAAGCACTTTACATATGTCGATTTTTAAAAATACTTTCAATAACCCTGTGAAATCATGTATTTGAGGACCACAAATGTATGTAAAGCTCTTGCACTGGCAATACTCTTTACCAGTTTGCATTCCTGGAGGTAGTTCTGTTATTTAACAGCTAGACTTTTCTACATAACCTTTACAGATCCATGAGAAGACATGTATCTTCAACATTGATGGTTAGAAATAATTTACATAGTTAATGAATCATAGAATGTTAAATCTGGAGAAGGCTTCAGAGGTCTTCTGGTTTAATCTTAATACAGAGTTATGTGTCGGTTGAGCTGCCAACTTAAATATAAGCAGCATAAACAAATAGGACAAAAAGTTCTAAATACAGTAAACCATTGATAATACTTTGGTGGTCAAATAAAATATCTTTTAAATAAACATTGTAGATAATAAACAAATAAAAAATGCAATTGTTATCCTTGGTTATTAACAATAAAAATACCAGTAATAGATCTCTGTTGCATTTTCTTTTTTTCAACAAAATTATCCCATATATAAAATTCATATATAAGACCCTGCTTAAAATTTCTACATTTCATAACTGACTATTGCTCTTTCAGAGATACAAATTTGGGGATGGAATGAAGTTTCCTTCTAATTTACTTGATCTTATGTCCTGCCTCGCATGAATAGGCAAAATTCAAGACTTCCCATAGTAAAGCCTATGAATAGAGCTTGTAAATAGTTAGAAGGGTCAGAACAAAGACTAAAATTATATAATCACTTTGGAAAACTGGCACTTTTTTAAAAAAAAAGTTGAACAACTATATGGGCATCTGCAACCTACTTTGAAATGCATCAGAATATAACATAGACTGATGGAGGGATGGATAGATATGTGATAAAGGAAATACAGTAAAATATTAACAGAAGAATCTAGATGCTGAATATATCAATGTTCACTAAAAATCCTCTCAACTTTTTGTATGCTTGATAATTCTTGTAATAAAACACCGTGTGAGGGTTAAACATAAGATAGTCCTCTCACAGATATTTATCCAAAAGAAAAATAAACATATATCCACAAAAACTCTGTACACTAACATACATAGCAGCTTTGATCACACTACAAACAACCCAAAAGTCCCTTGTCAGGTCAGTAAATAGACAAATAGTAGTAGTATGCAACCTGGATGAGTTTAAAATATATTATGCTAAGTTAGTGGTTCTCAACTGGGGTGTTTTTGTCCCACAGAGGACAGCTGGCAGTGTCTGAAGACATTTCTGATTGTCACAACTGGGGGAGAAATTGTCCACTGGCATCTAGTGGGCAGGGGTCAGGGATGCTGCTAAGCATTCTACAGTACACAGGACCCCTCCCTCCTCATTTATCCTTCCCAAAATGTCAGTAGGGTTAAGAAACTTTATACTAAGCAAAAGAAGCCAGGAACAAAAGAGTTCACTGTATATCTCCATTTATATAAAGTTCTCAAGCAGGCAAAACTAATCTTGACAGAAACTAATATTGGCAAAACTAATATTGACAGAAATCAGAACAGCAGTAGCTTTAATAGTGGTTGGTTAAGGATGGGATTTTCTTTGGTGGAAAGGGAGTCACAGTCAGGGAAAGACAAAGCCACATAAAGAAAAGGAAAAGAGAGGAGGAAAAAGAGCCAGGAAGAGAGTTAAGGGAGGAGAAGAAAGCGAACTGAAGGAAATAAAACCACTTTACCTTGTTTGTTTTCCAATTTATTAAGAATTTGATTACATATTACTACCTCATCTAATGTCCAAAGCAATCTGATGAGGCACAGAAATAATTAATATGTCTCACTAAAGATGAGGAAGCAAAAACATCCAGAAGGGTTAAATTATAACTCAGTCACATGGCTAGAAAGTGGCAGAACAAGATAGAAACTAGATAAAAGGAAGAATTTGTGCATTTACTCATCAAATATTTGAGCTGTGTTTTAAATCATCATAAGAGTGTAAAAAGAATGTTTCTGTGGGTGAGGAAGAGGGGGTGACAGTGATGAAGAGTAGATAATCCCAGATAGAAGAGGCAGCATGAATAATGGCATGAAAGCATGAAACTGTTAACTGGCACATTTCCCTCCTTAGACAATAATCTCTTTGAGAGCAGGAAATGTGTCTTTTTTCGTCACTTAAATCCCCAGGACCTAGCAAGGAGCACCATAAATACAATGCTGCACAAATGACTGAAAGAAAACGGTAACTAGAAGGGAATGGTGATAAGGACATCAAAGGAAGAGAAAATGTCAAGAAAGAACTTTAACAGTATCAAATGGTAAGCATGTTAAACACAGACACATCTAAATAAGAACTAAAATAACCCTCTTGGATGAAATTATGAGACTGGTGCTGACTCTGGAGGAGGAAAGTGTAATTTCTAGTGCAATGATGGAAGGGAAGAAGCAGACTGTCAACCAGTGTTTTGCAACTTACATCCCTATCTTTACCCTGACTGTGTTAACTAGAAAAGCCTGAAGAGTTGGAAATTATTTTCTACACACAAGAGGAATCAAAGCTAGATTCCTTGGAGGTCTAGAAAAAGGCAAAGGGTCAGGGAGAACGAGCCATGTGTTAAATATATTATCCAGGCAAAAAGTTATCCCATCTGAATAAAAACTTAAAAGAATGATCTAAGAGAGAATCCAGATTCCCTTCCTTGTGCTTAATGAAAGTTTGACTGATTTCTTAGTTCCAAATAATAAAGTCTGAACCTTAGGCTATTTTCATTTTTGTTTATGCTATTTAGATATTAGGAAAATTAAGACACAATCAAAAATTAAATGGCACAACCACCAATCAGTTGTTTGGTAATGATATTTATGAAGAATATTTCAATAGTTAAGAAAACATGACAGATCAATACCTATAATAATAACTACATAATAAGTCTTTTTCTAAGTAACAAAAATACCATGCCATTTTAATATCTCATTGTTCTACTTATGGAAAAACAAAACTGGCACAATTTAAATATGGGCTATATTCTTTGGAATATGGAACTGCTGACATGTCCTTTCTGTTTAAGGCTTCAATCTTCGTATCAATAGGAGAAACAAATTTCTATTTGCTCCATCCAAAAATGGAAAGACTAGTCCTGAGTCCCAAGAAGAATGTGTTAACTTTCATTAAGAACAAGATCAATATGAGCCTTCACACAGAGTCCAATAACAAAATGTAAAAGAGATTTTAAACTCTCTCATCAAAATGATAGCGTGAAAAAACTAGAAAGGATGATGCTTTCTAACAGACTTATTTACCATCTCTCTTTTTCACAAATCAGTATCTATTTTGTACTAGCTATCAGGAAATGTATGATTATTTGCTTGGAGTCAGTTGTTTACTCAGGGCAATGGCCATGAAAAATGGGTTGAATTTGTGGAATTTCTAATTACAGAATAATTGTAAAGAAAAGTAAATTTATTACTTTCAAGTTCTACCCAGTTAGAGAAAGGTTCCCCAACAAGTCCCCCAATAGTGCCATTTCTTATGATTTCTACCCATACATCCCACATATGAGAAATAGGAAGAAAAAAAATCATTATCATTGTGAGGTAAAAATATACTGCAACATATTAAAATAATAGATCAAATCTCTCAGGGATTAGTTTTTTTAAAGAAAGATCCCAATACCTTGAAAAATATCTCACATAAAAATTGGTATTCAGTAATTATTATTTTTTAATCACAAAATACTTTCATACTTCCTAAGAGGAAGGATCCCATTTAACTACATTATAATGATCAAAACCAGAAAACCATCAGCTACTTTTTTTGTTGATTTTTGTTTTTTTGAGATAAACTCTTGCTCAGTTGCCCTGGCTAGCGTGCAGAGGCGTCATCACAGCTCGCTGTAACCTCAAACTCCTGAGCTCATGTGATCTTCCTGCTTCAGCCTCCTGGGTAGCTGTGACTACAGGTGTGTACCACCACATCTGGCTAATTTTTCTATATTTTGTAGAGACAGGGTCTCTCTATTGCTTAGGCTGGTCTCAAACTCCTGAGCTCAGACAATCCTCCTGCCTACGCCTCCCAGAATGTTAGGATTACAGGAGTGAGCCACTGTGCCTGGCCTATCAGATACTCTTAATGGTAACATTTTTTGAAGCAGATTTAATTTCAGATGGCCCTTTGACACTGGAAGATGACACTGGAAGATGACTTTAAAAGTCATGACATATATTAAAATCAATGATTTAAAAAATAACGGCAAATTGAAATGGGTATTGGTTTGGGATTTAAGAGGTTCTGCCTTTTCTGCAGTTAACTAGATATATGACTTTGGTGAAGCTGACTAATCTCTGGATCTCAGTTCACTTAACCACAAAACAAAGAATTGGCTTAATTAATCACCAACAGCTCTCACAGTTCCAACTTGCTATGATTATGTATATGGGCTACTAAAAGAGACAAACTACTGTTTGCTTTTTAACTCAAAGTTGTAAGAACTTTAATGTACTTTTCTGCCTTAAACTTCACTGCCAAGTAAATAATACAGTAAGTTTCAACTGAGTGCATCCATTCTCTTGAGTTCCTAATGTTGGACTGGAGAAATAAAGCCTCTTAAAATCATATGCTTTGAATTCAAGGTATTTAAAAACACAATGTTTAGAGCCTTTAAAGAAAACGTCAAGATATAACGGGAAAACAGGCCAAATGTAATAACATCTAACATTTGTTCCTTAAAGAGCGTACATATGTTATCTCACTTAATCTTTTCAACAGATGGAGAGCTGTTATGTTTCCAATTTTACAAAGGTCAAGCTCCAAGATGGCACTAGCACTGATCTGTCTTTTTCCAAAGCCCGTGTGAGTCTTCTTATTCAACAGTCCATGCCCTGTCTATCACACCCGAGGTTCCCAACCCCTAGCTGCAGACCAGTCCGTGGCCTGTTAGGAACTGGGCTACACAATAGGAGGTGAGCAGCAGGGAACGGGCAAGCAAAAATTCATCTGTATGTATAGCCGCTCCCCATCACTCACATCACCACCTGAGCTCCACCTCCTGTCAGACCAGCAGCAGCATTAGATTCTGCATTACGGTGAGTTGTATAATTATTTAACTATATATTACAATGTAATAATAATAGAAATAAAGCACACAATGAATGTAATGCACCTGAATTATCCCAAAATCATCTGCTCCGCACCGCACTGTCCCCAAAGTCTGTGGAAAAACTATCTTTCATGAAACCAGTCCTTGGTGCCAAAAAGGTTGGGGACCACTGTATTACACCACACTACCTCAAATGCACACGTAAATCACCTAAAGCTCAGTTTAATTTAGCAGGAAATGTTTCTAAAAAATGTTTGATTGTAAACTGTCACAGTCCCATCAGATTAGGAAAGCAGAGCAAAACCTTGTCCAGGATACAACATCAAAATTTCCTATATTTTATTTTATGAGCTATTCCTAAGGATAACTTAAATAATTGAGACTAATTCTGAAAAAAAAAGACAAGTATTTCTTTTTGCAGCTAAAATGGAGCCACCATGTTAAAGCAGTGTAAAAATACAATTTAGAATTCATTTTTTTCCCAGCTCTGAAATTACACAATTCTTAATGAATTTGAAGTTAATCATATTATTTCAAAACTTTATTGCCCCTTTGATATTTTGCACAATTTAAATTTAGACTGTAAAAGCCCTTGTCTGAAGAGCTCTGGTACAGAATGTGACTTAGAAAGACCATATGATCTTAAAATCCTTTAGGAGCATGCATTTATACTGCATGCACGTGTCACTGATTATTAAATATAATATCTTTATCCACCAGTCTCTGAGATATAAAGCTCTGTGTTCATTCAACCTGTCCAGCACAGAGGCAAGATAAACCCTAGTTTATGTGAAAACCAGCCCAGAGCTACCCCCTGCTGACTGTGTAAGTAATGGTGATGACAAGATTGTTTGCTTTAGAAAGTATTTCAAGTTGAGGATTTCTACAAATATATAACACTGGCAACTTCTTATCAGTTCTGCCCAATACTTCAGTATTGCCTGTCAGCAACTGATCAACTGATACAATTCTAACATCTTTTTCTCATTGCTTAAAATAAGAATCATGTTAATATGATAGTTCTATAGCACCCAAAAGCACATTTACCTTCTATCAGTGGTTTTCCAGAATGTACTTCTTTTCGTGGTAATAAATACACAGGTTCTTAGCTTAAAGATAGATGTCATTTTTCCAAAAGCCATTTATATATCACTGTTCTTGATAACTGAACAAACAACCCTTCGACTTCTTTCCTTATGTGGCAGGGTGACTTTTCTCAAGATCAGGAAGATTTATGTGAAGAGAAAAGAAATGCGAGACATCTCGTCTAGCAAGAGGTAGAAGAAGCAGAGTTTTCAAGCTTCTCTGCTTGTTTCATTTTTACTCAAGAAAGCTGAGAAAATATACCACTGGATTCTTGAATCCATTTTTGGACACATGACTAATCTCAATAAATTTGGTTTTCTGAGTTACTACACCAATTAGTTTTTAACAACTCTTCATAAAAACTGGTGGGCATCTATGAGTTGCCAAGGTAAAGAGTACAACAAGGCAGTATACACTATGGTTATAGCAGGCTCCAGAGTCAGAGCACCCATGATCTTTGTAAGTGAGTATTCAGGTTGTAAGAGAAAATAAGAGGACATCCTATGAGGAAGTTTATTTTTCTCTCTAACGTAAATGTCCAAAGGTTGGCACTCCAGGGCTGGTGTGGGGCTTTTGTTCTCCAAGTCCACAGGGACCCAGCTCCTTCCCTGCTTTGCAGCCCTAACCCTCGGGGCCTAAGATGAGCTTGATTGTCATGTGTCTATGACAGGAGAAAGGAGGAACAGAAAAGGGAAGACGGGGCAAAGGGTACAAGCCACCTCTCTCTCTTAAGAAAGCTCTCCCCAATTATCCACAATTCTTTTTTTTTTTTGGCCAAACTTATTCACACTTAATTGCAAGGGAGGTTAGGAAAGGTTGTATTTACTTTGAGTCGTCATATGCCCAGAAGAAAATGTTATTACTACAGAGAAAAAAAGTGAGAGGGGATTGGGATAGCTGTATCACCTTAACCACTTTATGCCCCTGATTTCCCATCTATAAAGCGGAGACAATAATATAATAAAATCTCCCATTGTAAGGTTACTATGAACATAAAATGATAATCAACATAGACGGGTTAGCAAAGTGCCGGGCACATAATAAATACTCAATAAATGTAAACATTTTTCTCCAGGTATTTTCTTTCTCTTACTAATTTCCTTCCAATTATTACAAATTGTGTAAACTGTTTTGTTCCCTTTTGTTTATTCTTTCCCAACCCCCAAATTATCTGCACAGTGTAAACAGATCTATTTCTTCAAATCACTGGTTTCAGTAAGGCCCCTCTTCTTCTTAATGCCCTTGTCAAAACACACACTCATACACACATTCATACATGCAAACTCACACAATCTCACACACATGCACAATTCATTCTCTCTTTTCTTTTTCTCTCAAAGAAAACTTTGGGGACATCCCACTGTCTAAATCCAAGTGCAAATTACCATTTTAAAGGTATGCCATAGCCAGGACAACTCCCCTTTCTTTACCTACCTAATACCTTTACAGAGATATTTCCTACTATGCTCTAATGTGGATAACACTAATGATAACAATAACAAAAATAGTGATCACCAAAAGTATTAAATCAATAGAGTCCATCACTGTTTGGAAGTTTTCTGGCTGCCAGATAACATGCCAAGTCTTTTACATTGAACCCTCTATTTCAATCCTCATAATAATCCTTTAGGGTTATCACCATTATTATCCCCATATTCTAGATTACAACTTAACCTTAGAAAGGTTGCACTCAAAGTCACACAGTGAATACGAGGCAGGGCTGTGATGTGAACACAGGTCTGTTGGACTCCAAAGCTGTATGTTTAACCACTGTGTGCTGCCTGTCTTCCTGTACAAACATGCCATCTGCTTTCCCTCTACATTTACCTGAGTCACCTGAGAGTTCTTTTTCAAATCCTGTGGAGTTTCTAATGTCTGACTCATTTCTGATTTCTTCTATGAAGCCTTTATCAACTAATAATAATAACAGCAAACAGCAAAATAGCATTAAACTGTTATAACACTACAGTGTTGTAAGCCCTACGTATATACTATTAATAACTCATTTAATTCCCACAAAACCCCTATATGTTAGACCGTAAGTATCCCCATTTTATAATGAGGAAAATGAGACCTAGAGAGCTAAGTAATGTGCCCAAGTTCACACAGTTAGTAAATGCTGGAGCCAGGATTCTAAGCCAGGTAGTCGGGATGCAAAGTGCATGTTTTAAACCACAAAACCATACTACTACTCATTCTTCCTGTATCCCTTATGTAAACACTAACTCACAGATACAGCCTTTTATTAGATAACCATTTCGTGTATTAAAATATCAGGCACAAAATAAATGGATAAACAAAATGTGATATACACATACAATGGAATAATATTCAGCCATAAAAAGGAATGGAATTTTGATATATGCTCCAAGATGGATGGACCCTGAAAATGTTATGCTTAGTGAAAAATGGCAGATACAGAAAGAAAAATATTGTACAATTCCATTTATATGAGGTGCCTAGAATATGCAAATTCATGGAGACAAAAAGAAGGATAGAGGTTACCAGGGCCTGAGAAGAACAGGGAAGGAAGAGGTTACTGTTTAATGAGTACACACTTTTTGTTGGGGATGATGATAAAGTTTTGGATGTAGCTACTGATGATGGTTATACAACACTGTGAATGGATTTAATGATATGGAATCATAAAATTATAAATGATTAAAATAATAAATATTATGTTATATTTTACCACAATAAAAAATATCAGATACATTATATTATAGTCATACCTCACAGACTCTTTAAAGGCTGATGAAACTCTTCTGGGACTGAGGGATACTGGAAAATTTTCTACATGGTTGGTTTATAGCAAATGAGAACTACCATTTCTACAAAACACCTAAACAACAAATCTGTAACTATGTCTTGCCTTTCCAACATGATCAATAGTACCTTCAGGGAAAAAGTCTTGCATACACACAAAAAAGACTCTCAATAAAGTCTTATTTAATTAAATTCAATATTCGAAGCCCTACAAAGACATGAATGCAAAGGTAATCTTTGCAATTATTTCAACAGGTATTCAAGGGCAATTCTATATTCTCCATTGTATAAATGGAAGACTATAAGACATAAAGAGGAGAAAAGATGCTGTTGGAATCACTTTGTAATTATGACACTGAAAGCTATGGCTCTCTGCCTAGCATTTGGTAAATTGCTAGATCATGCAGTCTTAAAAAATATCACGAAACATCAACCATGACACTCAGACCACAAGAGACTAAAGCAGAGCAGGGTAAAAAGTGCTCAGCACCAGCAGCTCTGCTTCTCTCCCTTTCTTTTGTACAATATCCAACATGCCCCCCAAATTAAAAGGGGAGTGTTTAAAGAACTAACTTAGACGAGGTAACAAATTATTACCCAGTGGAGTGACCATAACTGAGAAATAAAAAAGTTGGCACTCGTCCTTTAAGGAATTGCCCCTAACTCCTGGCTGACGAAGATATTCTAAAACTTCCTATAGGTGAGACTTCAGCAGACTTTTCTCCATCTCTCACCCCTCAACCTCACCCCCTCTCAGGTTACTGACAAACAACAAAATGGAATCCCTTTTCTTGCTCTCTCTTTGACCTCTACTGGAGAGACACCGGTTAACAACAAAGGAATTACCAAAAGCTTGACCCCAGAGAAAAAAGATGTAATAAAAGGTATCCACCAACTGGATATTTAATAACTAGAAACATTGCTGAGATAAATAATATTTGAATTTTTTGGAATCAATTCTAAAGGGATTTAAGATTCTTAATTAAGAAGGAAGAATTAATTTTAACGTTATGGCATAAGATCCACACTTACCTGTCTGAAAAACAAATTACTGTTTGACATTTATTGAACAACCAAAAAAAGTTAAATCTTTAGATAGACAATGAAAAAGACCCCATTCAAAAGCAGCCAAATCTTCACCACATTTTTCATATAATAAATGGATATGACTAGCTTCCCGAAGGACCACCTAGTCCCACACCTTTTTTTGCAACTGTAGGACCTTTCCTGCCTCACAAAACTGCCTGTGCTCAAGTTCCCCAACACACAGCAATGGGGCATGGGGGAGTGAGCCTTGAGTTTAATTCCTTAAGTTTGTGACTGGTTCTTAAACTGCACTGCAGCATAGCTTCATTTGGTATTATAAATTGAACTTCAGATGTGCTAGGAAAATTCCAAACTATGTCAAGTCCAGACAATGAATACCTTGTAAATATTATGACAATCAACTTAATATTAACATACACAAAGGTATGCAGGGGAGAACAGAAGAGAAAGTAGAAGCAAACATAAGCAAGACAAGTCATAATAGAGGAAGGAAAAAAGTAAATAGTAAAAAAAATTTGAAGGCAATTAGCTGGAAACAAAGAAAGCAGAGAATCCTGAAATGAGGTTAGTGATAATTAAAA